CATGTGTGATAATCAAGCCGCAATGCACATCGCATCAAATCCGGTATATCATGAGAGGACAAAACATATTGAAGTTGATTGTCATTTTATCCGAGAGAAGATCACCAGTGGACATATAATCACAAAATATGTGAACACAACTGAACAACTTGCAGATATTTTAACTAAGTCTCTTAGAGGTCCTAGAGTGGAATATATTTGTAACAAGCTTGGTACATATGATTTATATGCTCCAGCTTGAGGGGGAGTGTGGAAACCCTAGTAGTATTGGGCTTAGCCCATTTTGTATATCTTGTATAGGAAACCCTAGCACTCTAAATATAGCTATAAATATAGCTTCTTGTATAGGATTTTATAGGAAGTATAATGAATACAATCTTATATTTCACATATATAAACACTTATGCTTTTAGGTAGAATTTGATTTTGTATCTCTCTAAATTGTTGAACCTTGTACTTGAAGCTGAAAAGGTAATAAATTAGGCTTTTCCGACAAATATGCCCCATACAGGTGCAACATGAACTTGAAATTTACCGAGAAGAGTGCAAGCTCCTGAAGGAAAGTTTGACACTTTCAGAGAGAAGTGCATCACTTGAAAAAACTTTCTGGTTTGTCTTATCTTTTTCTGTCTGGTCTCATGTTTTAGTTTCTAGGTGCATTTTTCATGTTTCTTTTCCTCATACAACCTTTCTGTGTTTTTCCCACGGTAATACATATCGTGCTTTTCAACAGTAGTGAGAAATCACTAGAGATTGATCAGATCCGAAATGAATTAAGAGTTGTCGAGGAACACAGCAGAAAAACGCAAGAGGTGATTTTTAGTGCAATTATGTGTGACCACTTTGCCATAAGCTAAAATATACATCAGGTGCTAATTTGTTCTTATATACTCAGGCGTTGAAATCAGAACTGCAAGTTGTCTTGTTGGAACACCGCAGCACAATAGAAGAAGTAGAGAGACTTAGGATGGAATTAAGCATGCTCAACAAAGAAAGGGAAGGCCTACTAGCCCGAGCCAAAGAGTTGGATTTGGGAGATGATTTTCAGGTTTTGGCATTTTGTATAATTCATGTGATTGCTTTTTCATGATTCATGAGCTCATAGTTACATTGGATGCAATTTGACATATGTACTCAGGCATTGAAATCACATCTGGAAGCTGTTTCCATGGAGCACCACAACACAACTGAAGAGGTAGAGAAACTTAGGATGGAATTAAGCATGCTAAGCAAAGAAAGGGAAAGCCTATTGGCCCGAGTCAAGGAATTAAATCTTGGAGATGATTTAAAGGTTTGTTCCTCCCCCCCACCCCCCCTATTACCCACTTGGTTCTGATTCGTAAAGTGTCTCCTCCTCGTATGCTGCTTATATGTTGATGATAGCATGTGATAATCATTGGTGTGGATGCAGAACCCAAAGCATGAACTGAACCTTCTAAGGGAAAAACTTGCCAGTCTAGAGGACAAGATACATAGTGTAAGCATGATCATGTTAATTGCTTCATACGGAGTATTTTTTTGCTTATTTTCCTTGACTGCCAACTTGTCAGTCTGTGGTACTTTTATCCACTAATAATAATAAAACTAATGCGAAAGTTACTTCTTGTTGTTGCTGAAATGTTATATTAATGTATTTTTATCATTATATCCTTAAATAAACTCCATATATAAATATATAATACTCCCTCCGTACCTATTTTCCCTATTTAACCAGTGTAAAATTTACGGCCGAGTACACTGTTTTTGACACGGTTTAATACTGTTTGGCACTGTAGTCATTATAGATGATTCAATATTTCAACAAAATTTAACACTCACGCTCCGAAGTGAAAACCATTTATTGCCTTCTGAAGACATTTCCTATCTCTAATTCTCTATTGTGTCATTTATGAAATGCAAAGTGTGTGTTAACGCTTTTATGTATTCTATACTCCGTATTATATAATGAAAAACCATTTCTCGTCTTCTCTATTATATTAACGCTTTTCTGTATTCTATATCCTTAATGGGAATGCATGCTCTGCTCTTACTGCACCTTTTTTGCTTTATATGAAAGTGTGTGTAGTTCTATAATAAGTAAATCTGTTGAAGACTTTATGTGATTGAACAGGATCGGGTTGAAAGCAGCCTCGAAAAGGCTAAGCTTAGGATGAGACTCCATTGGACCCAAAAGAAGCTGGATGCATTCCGAGCGAAACATATAGAGGTGGTGAATGAGATGGATTTCATGAACAAGAAATTTGAGGAAGCTTCAAAAGAATTAAAGCAGCGTCTCGCTTTGTGTGGTCATGAGATCCTCAGCCTTAAGAAGCAGCTTGCTTCCTGCAGTGAGGGATGAGGCATTCATTATTTGCAGCCTAGACAGTATAACTACTAGGAGTACATATATTTATTCTGTAAAGTTAAAATTAAAGAACGAAGTAGCACCATAATACAGAAACTGCTCAATTATCATCTTGTATTTCAAAATCAAGTGGTTTTTGACTTTTATATTTTCAGGAATTTTGTATGGTCAGTTCCGGACTTCCAGCCCAGAAAAACATACTCCCTCCGTCTCCGAAAGAAGTTCCCACTTTCTTTATTTGGATGTCCCTAATTTAAGTTCCCATTTCCTTAAATGGAAAGTTATCTACATCAAAACAGTGTCAAACAGTGTCAACCAGCGCCAAATAGTGTTGAAACAGTGTCAAAACAGTAAAATTTACCCCCTGGTAAGTCTACTTGCATAAAAGTGTGTGAAAGTCAAATGGAGAACTTCTTTCGGGGACGGAGGGAGTAGTTATTTGTAGGGAAAATTGTCAAATAGGTCCTCAAACTTTCATAAAAGGTCAAATAACTCCTTATATAGGAGACTCTGTCCGCCCGTCGCGATTTGGGGCGGTTCCCGGTGGAATTGTTTGATGCAAATTTTTGAGCATCTTATTCATCAAGTCTAGTTTACTCATACCAAATTTCAGCTAAAACTTCAATCAGGAATGCATTCAAATTAATTCTTGAAGATAACTGCGCATTTAATTGCACAGTTATCTTCAAGAACTAATTTGAATGCATTCCCAATTGAAGTTTAAGTTGAAATTTGGTATGAGTAAACTAGACTTGATGAATAAGATGCTAAAAAATTTTCATCAACAAATTCCACCGGGAACCGCCCCAAATTGCGACGGCCGGACATAGCCTCCTATATAAGGACTTATTTGACCTTTTTATGAAAGTTCGAGTACCTATTTGACAGTTTTCCCTTATTTGTATGAAGGTTGTGAATTGCGACTCCAATCTTGTGGGCGACGCTCAATGATCAATTAGGTAGATGCACCCTGGTTAAGGTCCTTGGTAGGCATGGATTCAACCCCATATCCGGACTGCAATTGAACCAGGACTGCTCGGTTTTTCAGCCTGGTCCTAAACTGTTTTTCTGGTTTCAAACCTCAATCTGTCGACATCTGGTATTGCTGTGGTTCCTCAAAAAAGGACTATATTGGTTGCTTTTGTATATTTTTAAACAGGCGAAGTGGCTAAAAGCCAAGTAGGAATCAGGCCAGAGCTGTACCATCATTTATATCTAACTCAGATCAAGACTGACATTATACAATCCAAATTGGTGCCCACATCTAGTCATGGACCCGGGCCGGGCCCGGCCGGGCTTTTTTTGGGAAGGAAGGCCCGGGACCGGCCCGGGTAGCCACCGGGTCCGGGCCTCCGGTTTGGTTATATATATATATATATATATTGCTTTCCTACCCCCCCCCCCCCCACCTCACCCCCCAAACCCCTCCTAACCATCAAGTCCAACCCGGGTGGAACCCCATAAAATGAAAAAAAAAAAATCAATTTGGCCCGGACCTGGGCCCGACCCGGCCAGGCCGGTTCGCCAAATATAAGACCCGAGCCCGGACCCCCCCCCCCACCGGGCCTAGGCCCGACCCGGACCCGGACCCAAGAACCGGGCCGGTCCCGCACAATAGCGGGCCGGTCCACGGGCCGGGCGGCCCGAACCGGGTCCAAGACTACCCACATCAATTTTTTCTTGCTAAGCTCTATTAGAGACAGCCTAAACCGATAAATCCCGTCTAGGTGGTAGTTGGTACTTGACATTTTAGAAAATCAGTCAACCTGTGGTATATATTGCAAAACTTATATTAGAATAGGGGTGCAAACGAGCCGAGCCGAGCCCGATTTTCTACAGGCTCGAGCTCGAGCTCGAAATATATAGCATCGGTTCGAGCTCGGGCTCGGCTCGAACGAGCCTACAAAATCGCGGCTCGAACTCGACTCGCAAAAGGCTCGGTTCGACTCGATTCGGCTCGAGGCTCGGTTCGGCTTGAGGCTCGATAACCATTCTGATGCTCCATAATGAGTCCGTAGTAAAAATTCACTGTCATCGGCTCATTCTAAGTTTTTCTATTGAGTAGTAACGCCCTAAGCCTAAAATATTATAAATTTTTACTAATCGGTAATTCGGTATATATTATATACTATCCCCCGTTCCATAATTCTTGCAACAATTTGACTTTCACGTTTGCCAATGCACAACTTTGATTGTAATTATATTTAATTATGTATTAGTAGACATTATAAAAAGTTGATATTTTGGAAATTCACATTGATAAGAGTTCAATAACATTTTATACGTAATAATTTGATTATGTATATTAGTAGAAAATCATGGTCAAATTAAGATATGTGAATAGTGTAAAAATCACAATGTTGCAAGAATTATGAAACGGAGGAAGTATATCATATATATTACATATAATAATATACACTATATATTAATTTATATTGCATAGTAATATATTATATATGATTATATATATATTATAAATATTCACATATAAAATTAGGCTCGCGAGCCGGCTCGCGAGCCAGCGAGCCTGAAATTAGAAGGCTCGAGCTCGGGCTCGATTGCTTAACGAGCCGGCTCGAGCTCGGCTCGAGCTCGAATTTGACCGATCCCGATTCGAGCTTTGACCGAGCGGCTCGCGAGCGGCTCACGAGCGGCTCGGCTCATTTGCACCCCTATATTAGAATATCAGTCAAACTGCCTGATATATATTGCAAACTAACATTGATAAGCAAATGCATCATTTTAGCATAACTTAACCAAAGTATAGGCCAACATTTGAAGGACAACCTTTGCTTGTCAAATAATATGACTATCTAGGGAGTAACTAAAAGTCTAAAAATTAAAGGATTATTATTATTATTATTAGGGAAAACGGAAACTAATAATCCAACCTTTTAGCGGTCTTCTTTTAATAGTCCCACCTTTTCGTTATTCGTGAATAATCCAACCTTTGCACCTCATCTTCATTCACTGGTCCCTGACCGGTTGATGACCTATTATTCCAAGTTATTTTCTTATCTTTGCAAAATATTATCTTTGTGAAAGGTGGAATTTATGGTATAATAGTTTGCAGAGATAAGAAAATAACTCGGAATAGCAGGTCATCAACCGGTCGGGGACCAATCAATGAAGATGGGGTGCAAAGGTTGGATTATTCATGAATAACGAAAAGGTCGGACTATTAAAAGAAGACCGCTAAAAGGTTGGATTATTAGTTTCCATTTTCCCTTATTATTATTATTATTATTATTATTCATAATCGTATAGAAATCTCTCAGCAATTGCAGCATGAGTTGCTGCACCTATAGGGAGGGCATCTTCATCGATCATGAAAAGAGGGGAGTGACCACTATGTATTGATCCCAAAGTCTCGTTCATTATTCCTATGTAGAAGAATGCTGCAGGAATGAGTTGAGAGTAGAATGAGAAATCCTCTGCACCCATCAATGGTGCAACGACTCTGAAATTCGATGGACCAACCAAATGCTCAGAAACCTTCTTCACGTGTTCGTACATTCGCTCCTCGTTCACGGTTGGGGGATAAAGTGTGTCTTTGTCATTAAAGAAGTCTACTGTTGCCGAGCATTTGAACACACTAACCTGTTCTGCGATCACCTATTACCATGAAGAGAGTAACAAATATTCAACCACATGTAAGTTAAATGTTTATGTACTTCCTCCTAAAATGATTTACAAAGTATGCTTTTACTAGTCCACATTGTTTAATTTTATTTGCTTATTTAGAATAATCAAATTTTGAAACGTTCTAATTTTTATTTTGTGGTTTTATAGAACTTTCAATGTAATTTCTGAATATAAATTTTTATTATTAAAATTAATTTAAGCCAATGAAGCACATCCAGGGCTACTTTTGAGTCCTGTTTGATGTATCCTTTTTGTACACTCATCAGTGCACACAAACAATTTGTCTAAAATGTTGACAAATTGTCATTAAAGAAGTCTACTGTTGCCGAGCATTTGAACACACTAACCTGTTCTGCGATCACCTATTACCATGAAGAGAGTAACAAATATTCAACCACATGTAAGTTAAATGTTTAAGTACCTCCTAAAATGATTTACAAAGTATGCTTTTATTAGTCCACATTGTTTAATTTTATTTGCTTATTTAGAATAATCAATTTTTGAAACGTTCAAATTTCTATTTTGTGGTTTTATAGAACTTTCAATGTAATTTCTGAATATAAATTTTTATTATTACAATTAATTTAAGCCAATGAAGCACATCCAGGGCTACTTTTGAGTCCTGTTTGATGTATCCTTTTTGTACACTCATCAGTGCACACAAACAATTTGTCTAAAATGTTGACAAATTGTCAATGTACATAAACTATTTTTGTCTATATAAACATTGTATGTGTACACAGACAATTTGTCCAAAAATGGACAAATATTTATTGTTTATAAACAATTTTTTAGACAAGTTTGTGTACGCAGACGAGTACGTGTACAAAAAATGTTCAAAAAAGTGTACAAATAGAATTTTTGCTTCATTGAATTTTGTTCAAAAAATTTGGTTACTAGAGTCACTTGTATCCATTATTTATATTTTACGGAGTAAGTCATACGACTTCTTTTTTACTTGGACTGAAATTTTCTGGTCCGACTTGATCTGGTTTGGTCTGAACTAATTTGGTAGATGTCTGGTCTCTGTGTATTTACAACTGTCCAGATCTGCTTTGGTATGATTTGTTAAAGTATGATCATCTAATATGGCCCGAGACTTAAACAAGTCCAAATAAAAACATATTTAATTACTCCTTAATTGGTTTGTAAAAGTGAGAAAAATGAAATGGCTTGAATAAAACCTCATCTCATCTCATTGTTCTTAAGTGAAATATGACTGACCTCTCTGATTCTCTTCAAAAGCCGACGCAAACTAGAATTGGAGAAAGCCCTGAAAGTGCCACGAAGAATAACAGACTCTGATTTGGCGCCAAGGCAATCAACCGATGTCACTGAGATCACCTGAGCGTCCAGCGGGTCGGCTTCCCGGGAAACAATGGCCTGCAAGCTGATGATGGCCGCGGAGGCAGCCACGACGGGGTTGCCCTGACCACCGATCACGGCCCGGAAAAAGCCGCACCCGGCGAGTAGAGGGCCGGGCCGTGATCCAATAACGCCAGTGGGATGCTGATGAGAGACATGAAGAGCAAAGATGGCCTTTGCTTTGTCAAGAGCCCCGTCTTCTATCATCCTTTTTGCTCCGTTTCCGGCCTCCTCCGCCGGCTGGAAAATTAGTATCACCGTCCCCTGCAAATCATAATTATCACTCTCTGTTCTTAGGATAATTTGGAGCACTTAGAAATAGGTTAACAATTTTACCCAAACACTCCAATATTTGTTTCTGCTATATGAAAACATAGAAACAGTTTTAAAAATCAAATAAAATAACATATATTTCATCTGTGAACCGGATTCCCTAACAAAAAAAACTTTCACAAACATGACAGATATAAGGTGGGCATAAGAGTGGGTACAATAAGAACGATTGATGAGAAATAGGGTGCACACTATGACACTATTGCTTGTTGAAAATAAAGTATAAAAATTCAATTTCATTGAGAAAGGAGGTGTAAAATCAAATTTTTTCTTCCCATTATTTGTTATTCCAAACCAAATCAAGCCAAACACTATGGAGATACTCCACCAATTAACATCAAATCTCTCAAAGACTACTAATTCGGACCGTTCGAAGATTAATTCTGCGGAATCCAAAAAAATGTACAAACACTGTGTAAAGATTCTCATTGAAAAGAGAAAGACAATAAAATTAAAGAATAGAATAAAATAAAATGCAGGGTCCAAACTCCAAAGGCCATTCTAAATACTGCCCACAATCCCAAAAGCAGAATATGTGTAATGAATCTTAACTAGTAATTTGGCACATATTCACAGCGCTCTATGAATCAGAGAGTGCTACTCACCCAAATCATTTAAAAAGTTTGATTCTGATTCATACAATTACTCCGTACTATCGTTATTAAATCTTCCTACTTTAAGCATTACACTAATCTGATGAGTGGCGTGATCTTTCGTTTTTAGAATTATTACTTCTTTTGTCTTTAGGACTTTCTTGTGATATCTAGGATTTTAGGGTAGTTTCATTCAATTTTACAATGAAATACTCCATTCATCCCAATTTGATTTCCTCGTTGCGCTTTACTTGACCTATGATAAAGAAAACTGATTTTTGTCCACATTCATATTATTTTTAGAAAAAAATACATATTCGGAAGCTATATTACAAGCTTTATAAAATCACAAAAATCAAAATCAAATTTGATAAAAATTTGTTATATAAAGTAAGAGATTAAGAGTAATTTGTGTTGATCAAGTGAATAGGAACTGAGAACATCAAATTGGGACAGGGATAGTATAACTTAATACGCCATAAAAATTTAATTTATACGTAGTACATAATTTGAGAATATGTAAGTTTAACTATTAATTCTAATAAGTGAGGGTAATATGTCTAATTGTCTATAATACATTTCATTACTCATCCACATCATTATTTTATCATATCTTTATGTTTGAAATATTTAATTTATTACTTTATTGATGTCCTGAATAAGGATACCGTGAGGTAGGGGTGGACCTGGACCGGGCCGGTTCCGGTTCGGGCCTGGGCCCGGCCGGGCTTTTATCTGGGAAAGGTGGAACCGGAACCAACTAGGGTAGCCGGCGGTTCCGAGCCGGGCCGGTTCCGGTTCGGGCTTATTTTCTTTATTTTGTTTTGCTTTTGTAATCAACCCCCGACCCCCCCCCCCCCCTTCACCCCCACCCCCAACCCCCCCCCCCCCCCCCCCCAAAACACCCAACCCAACTCGGTAGAATAAAAAAATTGAAAAAACACAAACAAATTAGGCCGGAACCGGGCCCGGACCGACCGGGCCGGTTTGCGTTTTAGGGGGCCCGAGCCCGCACCGGGAACTGACCGGTTCCGGTTGGTCGAACCGGCTCCAAGACCAGGTACCGGGCCGGGCTGCCCGGCCCGAGTCCACCCCTATCGTGAGGGTACATTAGAATTTGCTTTAACTTTATCAGGAGTAACTTATACGGAGTAATTATTACGGTACCAATATGTTTGTGTTTATGTTTGTGTGTGTCCAAGTCATTACCAATTACCAAATAAATGCATTTGATTTGCTAAAGTCATTATTAATCACTCCTTTATAATATATTCGACATACATTTTTTGCTACACTTTCTAATATATTACGATATACTCCCTCTATCCCTGAAACAACTTTTCACTTTCCTTATTTGGATGTCCCTAATTTAACTTCTCATTTCCTTAAATGGAAAGTTATATACATCAAAACAGTGTCAAACAATGCAAAACAGTGTCAAACAATGTCGAAACAGTGTCATAACAGTAAAATTTACTCTTTGATAAGTTTATTTCCTTAATATGTGTGTAAGTCAAACCGGGAAGTTGTTTGAGGGACGGAAGAAGTATGTTTTAGTTAAATGTCAACATCCTTGAGACGTTGACTGAATGAGTTTTGACTATTCTCATGTCACAATCATCCCATTGAAACACAAGTACTAACTTAGCAGAGGTTGATATTTTATTTTCACACATGCACGGAGTATAAGATTTGTAAAGGAGCTTACAATACCCTACATAAACTTTTCTAATCATACATATGTAATTTAGTGTTTTATTTTTCTAATCTGTTCTTTTGATACATTTGAATATGAAAAGCATTATATAGAGAATATATAGTATTTCTGATAAATCATTTGTCCCACACCAAAAAGATATAAAACAATTAAACACTATGGGTATGTTTGGCAAATGGCTGTTAGCTGTTGTTGTTAGCTGGTTGTGTCGGCTGTTTCCTAACAGCTGGTTGTGTTAGCTATTTTGACCGGCTGGTTATGTTAGCTGATTATAGATAAGTGTTTGGTAAAATTAGTTGTTTTGAAATGGCTGATAGAGTGTAAATTGAACCAACCGAATGAAGAAGCTGCTCCCCTTAGCTTCTTCAACAATCCATTTTTTCAGCTTTTCAAACTCAACAAGCTAATTTTAAAAGCCATTTACCAAACATCATTATTAGCTTCTTTGACCAATCAAACAACTGAAATGGGTCAAACAAGCTAAAAGCCAGCTAATAAGCCGTTTGCCAAACATACCCAATATAAAGCTTTGGGCTACTCCTCCTATCAGGTTGACCTTTTAGGATGGAACCTCGAGTCTTAACATGGTATCAAAGTCAAACCAATCCATGGTGTGAGTCCCTTATAAAAAATGATGACACGATTATAAAAAGGCCGGATGAAAAAAAACGGACCGATGAAAAAAATGAATGATGACATGATCCAGACGAAGTGTCTGATCGTGAGAAGGGGTGTTAAATGTCCCACACCCGAAAAGTTTGGATGAACAAAGTGCTATATTAACACATGTGTTAGTCCTCCTATTAGGTTGACCTTTTAGGATGGAACTCAGATCGATCTTAACATGGTATCAAAGTCAATTCTGGTTGTGGTTTGATGGCTTGTTTAGCACCTATGATTTCGGGTAGCTTGTAAAGGGTTTGTTTGGCCCGTTTATACACCCCAATATTGTCCAGCCCGGTTCTGGGTGAGAGAATTGTTAAAGCATTTGTCCCACAACGGAAGACTATAAAACAATTAAACACTATATAAAGCTTTGAGCTACTCCTCCTATCAGGTTAACTTTTTAGGATGAAACCTCAGGTCTTAACAATTTGTAAGAAATAATTACGTATGTATGACTAAAATAAAAATTGTTTACCAAAATGTCACTAGTGACTAGAGTGATAATGAAATCATTATAACTTATTTGCAGTTATTAAATTCAAGTTACCATTACACTATGTTACAGTAACTATTAATAATATTTGCGTAAATAAGATTAGGTTCAGTAATATTTTTGAAAAGTCCCCTATTTCTAATCGAACTAATTAAATTAAAAGTATCACTGGTTAAATACAAGGAAAGTTCTCGAGTAGGATGAGCAACAAACCTTCAAGAAATTTTCGCGAAGCTTCAAAATTTTAGCGGCGCCAAGGAGCATTGCGACGTGGGCGTCGTGACCACAAGCATGCATCTTCCCTGGAACCTCACTCTTGTGCTCCCACTCTACGCCTTCCTATTTGGGAAATAATTATTCAGCCGTCATTAATTTTCTTTTACTTAAAATAATAATAACTCCGTCCCACTAACATTAAAACGTGAGAGGTGACACAATTATCATGAAAAATAATTTTATACGATTGCTATTAAATTGATAAAATAAGAATAAAATAAGAATGATTTAGAAACATACAGATTTTATCAAATTTGATATGTGACAATCTTAGCGAGATAGACCAAAAAAGGGAAAGATGAGATAATCTTGGACGCTATAACATTTCTTTCATTCTTTTGGATGGATCTACATAACACAATTCTAAAGAATTCTAAACTACTCTATAAAGCTTCACAATTTTCTAGAATATTTAATTTACGCGCTTCTATATAATATCACACCTTTGTAAAATGCTTCAAAATGTTCTAACCGGTGGGCGTAGCTCAACTGGTAGCAAGAGAGTGCCACAAGGGTTAAGTCTCGGGTTCGAATCCCGGCAACTGCGATAAGGGGTTACTATGCTGAAAAATGCATAATATAGGGCCTCTGCAAGTACCCGGGGACGGAGCCCCACTCTCTATCTGTCATGTTGTGATTATAGTCCAACTTACATCCTCCCATCGTGCTGTCCGGTCGGTGTTGGGGGCCCCTCAGGGATGGGGTGTCATCCTTTTTTTTTTTTTTTTTTTTTTTTTTTGCCAGGGAATTCCTCACCGATTTATTAATAAAAAAGAGGTACAAAGAGTAGGAGGGCCAAACCAAAGCCTACTCGAGAAAGAGTAAAAGAAATAACCAAAGCCTACTCGAGAAAGAGTAAAAGAAATAAGCTGCAGGGAAATAAAAGAGAATAGAGTCTAGTAGTTTACTGAGTAGTTAAAATTGTTGGGGAGACCGGCCTTTATAGATAGTTCTTTGTTGTATCTGTGATGAAATTTGATCGCCCTTTGAATATATGGAGGATACATGTTCTTCTCAGGATGTGCTTGGCGGTACCAGCCCAGTCCTTGCAGCAGTTTGTGCGGCGATTCGTATTTGTGTTCTTCTGGATAAGCATAAAATTCAAACTCTGTTTGACCCGCCTTGGCTTTGCTCCTTGTTAGTATATGTTGACTGTATCCCCTTGTATATATTATTGGCACTTGATTTGATGTGAGTTCATTTTGGTGGCTAACTTTTTTATTTTTCCTCGAGACCACCGGAGTGAAACCTTCCTCTTCAACCTGTATGTCTATAAGGGACAGAGTATCTAGTTCATTGTCATCAGGACTATTTTGCTGTTGAGATTCAGGATAAACCAAATATTCAGTGGGTTGGATAGTTCGGTTTTCATTTAAAGGATTGATTTGGGAGGGGGTGTCCTCAGCTAGAATGTTGTAAGGGGAGGCCTCTTTAGACCCTTCTGGCTTACTGTTATTGATTGCATCATTGGACAAGGGAGGGATAATTTCAGTAGCTCTTGTAGTTTCCAAACTCTTATCACGTGAAACTGTGTTGGTAGGGACCGTATCCTCTAAAAATTGCGTGCAGGGAGGAGTATGGGCTGGTGGAGGCTCCAGATCTTCAAGCTCAGTTTCATTGTGTTCCAAACCATTTATTGGACTTTGGAATGTAGTTTTGGCCTGGACAGCAAGATCATGGACAGCCAACTCATGGGGTGTCATCCTTTTTTTTCAAAATGTTCTAAAATATTTGATATTCTCTATACATATCTAAAGATGTAAGGGAACCTAAGAGCATCTCCAATGCTAAAATGTGTACGGTGCACATGTGGCATGAGTGATAGCCACATAAATATTAGCAAATAAATTATCTCTCTCCTTATTTGAATGATTTTATACAATTTTGGTAAGTTTTTTCCTGCAATGTCAACTGCAATGTCAACATTTAGACGGTCTCCTTGACATTGTGGAGAAAAACTTACTTGATCTGTATAAAATCATTAAAATAAGGAGATAAAGAATTTATTTACTAATATTTATGTGGCTATCTCTCATGCCACGTGTGCACCGTGCACATTATACCATTAGATATGCTCTAACATTATTACGAGTATTTGATTGATAGATATTCGAGTGTGGGTACGTGGACTTCAATTGATTCGGTTCAGTTCTAGGGTAACCGTCAATTCGGTTTCATCAATTGATCGCGTGTATATATGTGAGGTATTGTCAATTTGTTATCACTTCTGTCCCTAATAACTTTGTCAAGTTTGACCAAAATGGGGAATAATAAAGTAAAAATAGTGTGGTTGAGTTTTGTGCAGAGCAGAGAGAATGAACTGTTGAACATCTACTTCATTAAGTCTAGTTTATCCATACTAAATTTCAGCTAAAAATTCAATCGGGAATGCAGTCAAATGAATTTTTGAAGATAACTGCGCACTTAAACAACACAATACATTTCAGAAAATCATTTGATTTTCTTCCCGGTTGAATTTTTATCTGAAATTTGGTATGGGTAAACTAGACTTAATGAAGAACATGCTCAAAAGAATTCATCAAAAAATTCCATCGGGAACTACCCCAATTGGCGACGACCGGACAGAGCCTCCTATATAAGGTGTTAATTGCACTTTTTAAGTTAGTTCGAGGGCCTATTTGACCCTTTAGCCTAAAAATTAAAACAAATTGGAAATATATACGAGGAATTATAAGTGCAATAATTTATATTAGTTTAAACTGGTCAAAAAAATATACTCTGTATTAGTTTAATACGATAGTATATATAATAGAGAGAATTCCCTAAATAGGAATAAAAACTTTTTGAAATTCCAAAATAGGAGTATCATGTTTTTTAATCCCTAAATAGGAGTAAATTTCTGCCAAGTTTGGACATTACAAGGCTTTAAACATGGCATTTTTTCCCAAACTTGGCAGATTACTCCTATTTAGGGAATAAAAAACATGATACTACTTTTTTAGAATTTCAAAACTTTTTTACTCCTATTTAAGGCAACTTCTGTATATGATACGGAGTACGGAGTATATGTTATACGTAGAATCAAGGGTAGAGTCCGGAAAATGATAGAGATCAAAACTTAACTTTTTAAATACAAAATTAAAAGAGTGGATCATTTTTAAGTAATACCCGAATTGAATGTTTCATACTATTTTTGTTCCAATTTATTTTGCAAATTCAATAATTTTTTGGTCTACCAGTAATATTTTCGCCTGTTAGTTATTTTTTAATAATATTAAAGAAAAAATCTTACATTTTTGTTCATTACTTTTGTTTTGATTATATATTTGAATTCAATCACGTAATTTCTGGTTTTAGTCCCTTAAGGATGTTTTTACTTGGACTGTAATTTGCCCCAGACCAGACCAGAGCAGACCAGTCCAGACCAGACCAGACCAGACCAGACTTGGATAGTTATAAAAATACAAAGAAACCAGACCTTACCAGACCAGACTAGACCAGTTCAGACCAGACCAGATCAGACCAGACCAGACCAGCAAATTACAGTCCAAGTAAAAACATCCTAAATGGCTATGCCCACTTGCGAGCTAATAGTAGAAATAGTTGACTACATTTGTAATGATGTGATTTGATATAATCTATTCAATTTTAATCTGTTAGGAATAGGTCTAGTTTGGTTTGTTATTATCTAATGTACGTGTACCTTAGTACCTTACTATTGTTTTTAGAGGCCGTTTGACAACACTGTTTTTCGGCTTATCAGCCAACTTTTTCACCAAACGCGTAACTTTTGCTTTCGCGCACTGAATTTTGTGATAAGCAGAAAAAGTAAGGTTGAAATTATTTTTCTGTCTGTATTGACTGAAGTGACTATAGATGATCATTTTAATTATTTTACATATAATTTTTCCTTTATTTTATTAATAAAATATTTTTTAAAAATAATTTTTTCTTAAATCAGCAGAATCAGCCAATGAAGCCACTTCAGCCAGAACTTCATAAATTTCAGCAGAATCAGCCAATATGACGTCGGAGTGAAATAAATCAATTTAATTAAACACTTTCAAATAAATACCTCCTAATTTGTGGGTGAGCGTTGTGAATTAGAGTCCGAGACTAGCTGCACATAGGGCGAGGCATATCGGTTTTCGGTTCGGTTTTTTTCGGTTTCGGTTCGGTTTGGAACAGGTCGGGAGAATTATTATTAAACAAAAATCATACTATTTTTCGGTTTGGTTCGGTTCGGTTTAGTTCGGTTTGGATTTGTTATTTTTTAATAAAATATGAAGAAGTTTTTGAATTTCTTTAGTCCGGTTTGTTTTTGTTCGGTTTTTATCGATTTCGTTTCGATTTAATACGATATGGAAGATATACTATCAAACTCAAACCAAATTACATAAGGTCCAATTTCGATTTGGCTTAGTTCGATTTGATACGGTTCGGTTCGATTAAACCAAACCATTATTGCCACCCTAGCGGCACATATAGACAGACAGTATCGAGGATGTGGGCTTGCTCAAATCTAATTGCGCCGAGCCACATGATACACCTGTCCCATATTCCATTATCATGTGGGCCGCGAGTTAATGAATTAATTAACCCACGTGTCTATTCACTCACATGTCTATTAGCTATCCCACATGTGTTATTATTATGCCCCTTATTATATTAGTAGTAATATTATTATACCCTTGTTATTTTCATTTGATATTCTTTTTCACATGTGTATATAATTAAGGAGAATTATGAAGATCTTCCCATCGTGAAAGTTGGTGAAATTATGAATAGTTAAATGTAATATAAATTATTGATGTTATGATAGGAAGATAATGAAATGGTGTGATGGAATGAAGGATAAATCCAAAATGTAATAGTGTATTATTTTTAAATTTATTGAGTATATGATGTGAAGATTTAAAATAGGAAGATTTGTTTTGTTACGGTTAAAAAAGAAAAGTGGGAAGATCGTTTTGTTACTGAGGGAGTATCATATTGCACTTTAATGGTTGAGTAAGAGGAACTTTACAAATAAATAAATAACTCATGATCTAATTTCATAACTTTAAAATTGGTTAAATCGATTAAGTTTTTTGAAATCGCGGAAATTAGTTCCTATAAAGAAAGTAGTTGAATTGATTAAATCCATTGAATTATACGGATTACGCAGTAAAAACTATACTACTATACATATTTACGATTACTAAAATAAATAAAATTATACTCCGTGCGTATGAAAATACTACATATACTATTGGCATATGCATTATCTTAGGTCTAAAATAAATTTGTGGTAATGATTTATTTAGTTAACTACAAGAAAATGAAAGAATGATATAACTAGTCCAAATTAGAAAAAAAAGATGGCATTACATACATCCCTAAAGACCCCAACTATGAATGGAGTTAGAGGGGGTCGCTTTCCCTCACCTATAAATTTAGAAATATCCAGAATTTTAATTAAAAATCCCCTGTGATTTATCCAAAAATGTACTTTGTATCGGTCTCGCCCTTTCATCCAAATCCCAACATTGGGCAAACACTTAACTAGACAGGATGTAAATTTAACTTTAATCATATGACAGATAACGAGTGAGATTATAACCATTCTAACTCATACACTACCAATTAAACAAGTAATAGTGGTTGATCGGATCGGAGTACTTTACATGGATACATCCATGCATGCAAACGAGTGGCCTCAACTTAATATTTACACATTCTCAAAAAAAAACTTACGTAGTAATATTTACACGTAATAATAAATTAAGATTGAAATGAAGGAATTTATAAACAAGGCACATATATACCTGAATGGGAAGCGCATCCATATCTGCCCGGAGAGCGACAAACGGTGGGCCGCCGGTCCCGACAGTCGCTCGGATTCCGGTAACGGCTAAAGGAAATTCGTATGGAATCCCCATCTTCTCCAGCTCCTCTCGAACAAGCCGGCTGGTCTCGTACTCCTCGAAAGCCAGTTCCGGGTTCCGGTGGATCGCCCTCCTCACCGACTTTATCCACTCCACGTTCTCCTTCTCTCCGGCGACCCTCAACAGCTCATCGGAGCATGTCCTGCTCCACGCTTCCTGACAGCTGGACGTGGGCACGTCGCTCCACGGCAGTGGTGACGACTGATTCCGCAGGATCTTCTCGGGGGGCTCGTTGAATCCGCCGCCGGAGGTGGGGGAGGATGCCAGATATGGAAAGTCGTGGCGGTCTTCCGATGATGTGGTGGCCGGAAAATCAAGAAAACCGAACAATATCAATAAACAAAAAAATAGCTTCATCCTGATTGATTCAATAAATTGTGTGTCCCTTCGTTTATGGAGAGAGACAAGAAGCCGACGATATATATGAAGAGGGTAACTCTGTTCCTCTCCTTTTTGTCACTTTCTCTAAATAGCGCTTCTTTCTATTTTGGTACATAGATACTCGTATATAACAAAAACGACGTTTATATCCACTTTTATATCCACTTTTGTATCCATCGAAGTGTTTTTTTGCACAAACAAAATATTTTGCAAAAAAAAAAAACACACAAATATGGTGGGTATAAGGTGGTATAAAAGTGAGTACATCAAGCATTATTGAATATATAAAGTTTATATATTGTGGGAGAAAATACTGTCCTAAGAGAGCCTACCTTAATAGCTACTAGCATAGTTGGCAGCCAATTTAGGTCTTGTCTCATCCCACATTTAAAAAAGTTTATACTTTAAGGGATGTTTGAAATTGATTCTTCTTTTTTAAAGTAGAAACAGAATCAGAATCAGTTTTCAGAAACTGGTCACTTACAGCTTTTAAAAAACAATTTTAAAGGTAAATTAAAGCATCAGAATTACTTCTACACTCACCGAAACAATCCAACTTCTGCTTTTGTTCCCTGAAGGAGCAGAAACAATTGTAAGAATCATATCCAAAAACATTCCTTGTACCGGATCAATCTAGCAACACCTTTTATATCTCTTTAATTTGAATACAAATAATAGCAACACCTTTTATACTCCCTCCGTATCAAATTAATTGACCCGTTTGCTTTTCACGCAGTTTAAGACAATTACTGTAGACTTTATTAAAAGTAAGAGGTTTTTGGTACTGTAGCGACACTGTAGCGGTACTGTAGCAGTACTGTAGCTGCTTTTTGAGTGAGATTCTTTCCAAAAAGGGAAATGGGTCAATTAAATTGATACACCAAAAAAGGAAAGTGGGTCAATTAATTTGATACGGAGGGAGTATCTCTTTAATTTGAATACAAATAACTATTGCTAAATTGCCTTAAATAGGATAAAATAGATTTTAATAATTCAAGATGAGATCGTTTTTCTCTTTCGACTCCTTTCATCTTCCACCTCGTGTTTAATTTGTTACTTCGTATATATACGGAATACTACGTATACGTAGTATTTATTTATAAAAAATAGAAACCGTACACATTATATTTTGGTATGTAAAAGTATTGAAATGGTATCGGTAGAGTGATTGGCTAAAAGTTTGAAAGAGTGATATTGGGGGTATTTGGTTTGCCGTATTTTGGCGGATTTGACTAAAATTTGGCTTTTTGACCAAATCAATCACAATGTTTGATTAACTAGCTTTTTCAATTGGCTGTATGAGAATATGAGATTATAATTAGATCCGTTGAGAAACTAGTTAGGTTCGTAACCTGCGGCTAATCGAGAAAGCGGAGCGAATCCTAGCGAAGATGGTGAATAGCGGCTTGGTAACCTGCGGCTGAGGAATATGGGTAATTAGATGGTTTATTTTATTTCGTGGGTATATTAGGGGAGGGGAGGTGTTTGATAAGGGAGGGAAAGTAATTGGGTTTGGAAGGGAAGCGGTTTGGCAGACGAAGAGCCTGTTTGGAGACCCATTTCTTCGGCTTATCAGGCTTATCAGCCAGCTTTTTCACCAAACACGTAATTTTTACTTTCGCGTGCTGAATTGTGTAATAAGCAGAAAAATTAAGGTTGGAGTTACTTTTCTGGCTGTATTGGCTGAAGTTACTGTAGATGGCCATTTTAGTTATTTTTACATGTAATTTTTTCTTTATTTTATTAATAAAATATATTTTTAAAATATTTTTTTCTAGAATCAGCAGAATCAGCCAAAACAGCCACTTCAGCCAAAACTTCATAAATTTCAGCAGAACCAGCCAAAACAGCCGATTTTCGTGCTACCAAACGGGCTCGAAGTATAGTTTTTGATTTTTTGTTTTTTTATCGAAAAGAAAGAGCGGGATTGGGGAAAATTTTGGTGCCGCGCAAATTTTTGGATCAAGTCAATGAGTTAATATGGAGTATCTTATTCAAATTTTAATTGTAAAAAGTATGTAATTATGTATGTATATAAAAAATAATTTGTAATAACGATGACCACACCATCCATAATAACGACAATTTAAGGTGTGTCGTCCTTAATGATAAATTTTAATCACGTCGAACTTATTTGTTGTCGTTAAAAGATACTTTTAGCGACAAATTTTTAGAATCGTCGTTATATGATGGTCGTTAAAACATTGTTTTTAGTAGTGTAAATCTATAATTTTCACAACCAATTAGATTACTTGACTTACTTTATTATACCGAGTATAAAAAAAATGGAGCATTAGAGCATCTCCAATGGGAGGGTGCATTGCAATGATGTGGCATAGGAGAGAGATAGAGATAAAATGAATATTTGGATAAAATGGTGTGTAGGGAAAAATAAAAAAGAGAAGAGAGATAGAGATAAAAAATGAACTAAGGTCTATGACAAGATCCATATATGAACCTTACACGGGATTCGGGGAAAAAAATTGATGAAAATTAAAGTGAGTTAAAAGTGATATAAAAAAATAAAAATGAAAATAAATTAGGGCATACACATAAAAATTGTGAGATAAAAAATAGGACTCATGCGTAAGGATGTGTAAGAGACCACACCCTTATAGATGTGACCATCAATCAATCATTTAGACGATGAATCAAGTATTGTTGCCATTTTTTATTGCTCCATCACGCTATATCTTTGTATCATTTCATTTTTTTTCTTCAAATCTCGCTTATATTTGAGTGTTTGCTATTCCTTTATATTTTATTCACATTTAACCAATTAAATATTACCTATATACAGAGGCGTCTTTAGAACTCTGGAGGCCCTAGACGAAAAAACACTTAAATCCCGTTTGGTAACATTAAAATCGGCTGATTTTGTTGATCCTGCTAAAAATTATGAAGTTCTAACTAAATTGGTTGTATTGGCTAATTCTGCTGACACAATATTTGAAGGAAACTGCATTTTTATATGTCATTGAAAGAGCACAAGATGTAATCTATCTAACACCTCCGTCTCTTTTTATTTAGCCAACTTTGACTTTTCTAGTAAAAAATGATAAACTTTGATCAATTATTTTAAGTAATGTATATATGTGAAACTTAATAAATTTATATTTTTATAATAGTACTTCTAACAAAGAACATTTACATATCATTTTCATATTATCAATATTATCGTGTATGAATATATAAGCGATCAAAGTTGAACATCATTGACTTGGAAAATAGTGATTGACTAAATAAAAAGGGACAGAATCAGTATATTTTATTAATGAACTACAGAAAAAATCATATGAAGAAAATGGCTAAAATTAATGTGATGGCGGCCAGCTATCAATTGTCGTCAACCGTAACCCAATAACCTACTCGGTAATATCCTTAAGCCTAAATTTTACAGAATGTCAGAATTCCAACATTTCCACCTCAAGACTAAATCTGGCCACACATACAACCGTTAGGGAAAATGGAAGATTGGGAGTTTGGTTGCTTTCAAACTATTAAATTAAAATAGATATTTTATACTATTAATATATTTTTTGAGGCCCCATTAAGGTATGAGGCCCAAGGCAAATGCCTGGCCTTACTCCCCCCAAAGCCGCCCCTGCCTATATAGTTTAACTTTTTTAACAATCACATTACTCTACTCAAGAAAAACAGTAGCATTGCTATCCCTTTTCCTACTTATCCTAATCTTAGAGATGAAGATACTATTAAAGGTATGAGGTTTTTCCTATAATATTACAACTAAAAAAGTCATAGAAAAAATTGTGACTAAGTCATTTTTAGTGACATAGTAGTAACTTTGAATACAATTATAGTTACTTAAAGTTACAAAGTCATATTTTTTCCTACAATTTTTCTTGTAGTAATATTAGTGGATTGTTTTCTAAAGATATTACCGTGGAGTAAAATACGGAAGGAATTCCAAAACACGAGTGTATGTTTAATATTGCTCAAATAAGACTTCATATAACCTTTTCACCATTATAATAATTAAAACTAATTAATTCTTTTCTCTCCAAACGTCATCGGCTCTGGACTTCTTTATCTCTTTGTTGTGTCTCTTTGCACCTCTCTTCCGCTTCTTCCATCTCCAACTTCCTAGGAGATGGAGGCGCGCAGCGGCGGCTAGGAGTGATCGCAGGTAAGTGTCCTCCTCTTCCTACTCTTCACCCCCTCGATCCTCCCGCCTCCTCTTCCCTCGCTCCTCTCATACATATGCACTATTTTTTATACTTGATATGTCATTTATATATATTACATTTAGTTTTAACTTAAGGAATGTATATATTTGATCAATTCATTACAACTAGCTAGCGTTATATAGCTTTCACTATCACATGATTTGGCTGATTCTGCTGAAATTTATGAAGTTCTGACTAAAGTGTCTGTTTTGGCTGATTCTGGTGGTTTAAGAAAAATTATTATTAAAATATATTTTATCAATAAAATAAAGAAAAAATTATATTAAAAAATAGCTAAAATGATCATCTACAGTAACTTCAGCCAATACAGCCAGAAAAGTAACCCCAACCTTATTTTTGCTCAGCGCGTGAGAGCAAAAATTATTTGTTTGGTGAAAAAGTTGGCTGATAAGCCTGATAAGTCGAAAAACTGTGATGCCAAACGGCCTCTTACTCTCATTATTAAAATATTCAATAGACTCATACTCCATATATAACTAATATAAGAAATAATTTACACACAACATAGATGAAATTTTGAACAATCATCAAGCCAGACAATGAACAACAACCCATAGACAAACTCATAAAGAGCACTATCTGTCAACAGGACACGTCATAACTCATAACATCAAGCTAGTGGAGATCACCACACCACCGCACACAATCTCAAATGTCTAAAACATTTGAGATAGGCAAATAGGCTTCCAAAGGTCAACGGCAACAATCCAAGTAGTCAACAATCAGGTTTTTCTCTTCCACAAATCAAAGCACACGGAGTATTTCAAAGTTAGAGATATTAGAGGCCCGTTGGCAACACAGTTTTTCGGCTTATCAAGCTTATCAATCAGCTTTTTCACCAAACACGTA